TGCCATTCGAACCGATGTCAAGTTGTCATTCTTCTGGACCTTACATGAAAAATCGATACACTTCCCCTTTAAGTGTCTGCAGGTTTATGATGATTTTTATCATGGTGTGTCCGTGCACAGGATGCTATTAAACAGTTGAAAGTTTGGAAGCCGTTTGTAAATGAGAGTGCTCCGGCTCGGCAGAGGGCTCATTATTCATTCGAATAGAGCTATCGTACACACAACACAGAGCACTACAGTTCACTTGTAGTTGCCTGATGATTGCCTATGGGCATGACACTTTTAGTTACAACGAATGATGCATGGTGCTCTGTGCCATGTGTGGGAAGCTGCTTGTACAAGCCTCTTCGGACTTGTCCATCTAAATAAAGCTTATGTTAGATTCCTGAGGTTGTCATGGTAACCAATATGTATGACCATTTCTCTCTCTTCTGTCTGCCGGTCCCTCCCTTCCTCCCTCCCTCTGAACATGCATCGATAGTTCATCACTCAGTCAAAGATAGAGCTGTTAAATGTCTTTCGGTGTGGGAAGCTTTCTGTGAATATGGTGCCGGTGAGGCGTGCTTTGCTGTGAATGTCGTACTGGGAAGCATCTCTCATTGTTGTGTCGTTCTATGAGCTGGTTCTTGGCAATCTGAAGTAGACCCACGTGTCCATATTCCATGAATGACACACGCCAACAATCAAGACAACACGGACTTGTGACAGAAAGCACACTGAATGATATGAAACTTTGTTGATGCTGTGGAAGGACTACAGTCAGCTTCGCTTATAACGACACTCGGCGGGGCATCAAAAAGGTGTCCCTATTCGCGAAGTGTCGTTATACCTGAAGTCTCATTATATGTATTACAGGGGTATGGGACTTTGCTCTGGGCATGGAAATTCTGTCGTTATTCGCGAATGTCATTCAATCCGCAGTCGTTATTCGCGAATTGTCGTTCAATCCGCAGTCGTTATTCGCGAATTGTCGTTCAATCCGCAGTCGATATTCGCGAATTGTCGTTCAATCCGCAGTCGTTATTAGCCAAGTTGACTGTAACTGGGCCATGTGAGTGTGGTGCGATGCACTTTTAAAAGTGATCAGGGTTGCCATGGCAGCCATGACAGTCACAGAGACCTAGTAACAATGTGTGTGTTTTGTTCTGCTCTCTGTGTGCTACAAGATGTCAGACGTCAAGAATCGATCCTTTTTTGTACATTGGTGGCCAACAGGTGAAGTGGTGTGCAGCGAGCGGAAACGGAATGGTGGAATGCGTAACCATAAGCTATCGGATGTCCCTGGAGCGCACGATATCATCTATGCAGTCATGCAATGGGACCTGCGTGACCCAGAGGGAGTATCCTGGGTTACAATTGTGTCCTACAAAGGTATGGAAGTAACAGAAGACATTGATGAAGCGGTTGGTCAGCATGAAGCCAGTGCTGAGACCGGTGGTGCCTTCTGTTCCACCAGTCTTTTAGTCCATACACAGTAAAAATGTGATCAAGTGTGATTGTGTTAACAGAATGAATACTTGAAATTGGAACTTGTGCGTACTAGACTCGGATGGAGAGCCAGAGATTATAATTGCTGCATTTGCCAGAGAATATTGCGCACTTTAATGCGCTATTTCAGGCCCGAATTCGCAGGTGCGCACTATGCTCCGAATGTGAGAATACATGCACTTTGAAAAGTAGTGTAATGTATCAAACTGGTGCGAAGTTTTCTACTTCTGAGTCTCTGACCCTGAGTAAGCCATATCCATGCATTGGAGTTGTCTTCTGTCAGCTACACTGCACTGTAAATGCAAGATTGGTAAGAGACCCCATAGGTAGCATATGCATTCATGTACAAGTGTAAGTATTTTGTGTTTTCTTTGTGCACAGTTTCTGAACCCATGTTCAAGCCAGCCCGACTCCAACTGGAGATTGGAATACCGTTTCTACGCATGATTCTCATCGGTGAAGCCGGTGCAGGCAAGACCAGCCTGGCGCGCTCTCTTTGCCGCAAGAAAATCTTGCGCGGAAAGGACGACAACAGCACAGTCGGAGTGGATGAAAGCACGTTCATCATCGATGGCGATCAGCTGGAGCAGGAGACCAGCCAAGACGGCGAGGAAATGCTCAGAAGGAGGATCGCGTCTGTGATCAAGGGTACCGCAACTGATCCAGAGGCCTTTCTGCACACTGCGGCTGCTTCTTCTTCTTCTGCCTCATCTGTTTCGGAAATCCTCTCATTCTGTTAACTCGGCTGCAAGCAATACCAGATCAGACATTTCTTCTTCACTAGCAAGTGATGCCTCTGGATTGACGGACCCATTCTCTGACTCGGCAGCAAGCGAGAACGAGTTACCACAAAGTGTGATTAGTGATATCTCAAGCCGCGTGACATCCTCTTGGTTCATTGAGAATGCCAGCGCAGATATTGCCGAGGGAAGGTTCCAAATCATCCGCATCTGGGACACGGCAGGCCAGGACTCCTATCGGCTGCTTCAGCACATCGGCTTTGGTGCTGATCGCACTGTGTATGCAATTGTCTTTAACACAAGCCAGTCTGTGGAAGCAGAGACTCCTCAGAGCACTGTAAGTATTGATAGATGTCGAGAGACCGTTGGACAGTGGACTGGTTTTGGTGTAGGCAGTCTAGTCCAGCACCTTGTGTGTGAATTGTGAAGTGACTGTGACCAGCCAACAGTACAATGGGTTTCGGTGTTAGCTAGACCTTTTAGAAGATGGCAATAATTTTGACCTTCGCCATACTATAGCATACAGTGTTCTACTGGAAGAGATGCGACGTCAGAGTAGAAATATCTTGAATTGAAGACAAGATACTCAGATATTGCCAGTCCACTAGCTCTAAGGTACAGGCTCAAAATCAAGTTAATTTGGTGTCATCCCCCTCCCCCCCCCCCCCCCTCCCTCTCAACTGGTACGATTGCTATCATGTCATCCTTCGAAAGAAAGAAAAGTTCGTATACATATCACTGTTTAAAATATGAGTTGTATGAGGATTGCCAGGACTTGGCATGAACTATAAGTTACAACACCAGACGCATGGTGCTCTGTGTCTCGTGTGTTCCTGTGCTATGCAGGTTCGACACGAGGGCAAACATCGGCCTTGCACTGCAGCTGTGCCGAGACAGCCAAGCCTTACGTATATCCACGACTACCTGGCCACAATACACAACATGCCGAGTAGCAGCAACGTGCGGGTGTTCCTCGTTGGCACTCATATCGACCAGCGTCGCTGGTTCAGTGGAGCCATCCGGGATGCGGAACGTGATGTCATCATGAAAAGTCTTAAAGGGAAACCGTACTGCCACTTGCTGAAGTCTGACGACATCGTGTTTGTCAACAACACACGTTCTGGTAGCTTCCTCTTGCCAGAACACACTGGAATTCGAAGCCTGCGCACTAAGCTTGTCGAGGAGAGTGTCAACCAAGAGGCTATCCCACTTGCACGTGGTCTGGAACGCTCGCACTTCTCGAGCTCTCTAGAGATCCCCGTCTCTCCAGTCCCTGGATCTCGCTCGGTGATCTGCTTCGTCTAGCCCGCCGCCTGGGCATTGCACGCCGAGTGGATGAGGTCAAACCTATGCTGGGCTTTCACCACAACCTTGGCACGTTCTCTTCTTTCCCCAGTCCGTAGCACTGCGGGATAAAGTGATCATCAACGTACCATCCGTGATGAAGCTGGCTGGCTCGCTCATTCAGCCTGAATGAAGCGAGAAGATTTCGTGAAGGATCCACCATCACGCGATGACATTGATCTCTACCAACAAGGCTACATCACGGTTGAACTGGCCTTGCGTCTATGGCAAGAGCACAGTCCCGAGTTCTATCGGCTGATGTTGAATGAGGAGCACCGCCACACCTTCTTGCAGCTAATGGAGACACTGTGCATCCTGTGTGACCTGGGTGAAATCACCACGGCCAGGAACGGAAAGAAGAAAGTCTTTCTCATGCCAGCTGCGACCGAAAATGAGTCTATCCGTGAGCTGGAAGGCGGCTCCACATCCGAGGCCATTCTTCTGGCTTGCGACGAGAACGACCACTTTCCACATGATATGTTCCTCACAATTGGCACGAAATGCATCACTCGCCACAACCAGCTCCTCGTCGAGAGCGGGACGAAAAACAGCGCCTGGAGGAAGACTGCCCTGTCCAAGTTTACCATGCGACTACCGTGGAATGTCAGCGACGGAGAGTGGCTGCTAGTGTCCTACTGGAAGTGCGGCATCTCTCTCAGAATGGAGTCGGTCAACGAGCAGCGTGTCTTCGGCAGTGGTGAGGGTGAGGCAGCGCTACGTCAGGTGAAGCAATGGTTGTCTGACATGCAGGCAGTTACCAGTCAGAGACTTCTGATTTGAGGTGAGTCACAATGCCGTGCCATAATAATTTTTACTTCGAACTACTCTTACTAGTAACACCATGTTCTGCCTTCTCGAGCATGCCTTTTCACTAAATACTGCTGGTGAATGCCTGGTGAATGCCTGGTGAATGCCTGGTGAATGCTGGTGAATGGTTTGTGAATGGCTGGTGAATACCTGGTGAATGCCTGGTGAATGCCTGGTGAATGCCTGGTGAATGCCTGGTGAATGCCTGGTGAATGCCTGGTGAATGGCTGGTGAATGCCTGGTGAATGGCTGGTGAATGCCTGGTGAATGGCTGGTGAATGGTTGGTGAATGGCTGGTGAATGCCTGGTGAATGGCTGGTGAATGCCTGGTGAACGGCTGGTGAACGGCTGGTGAACGGCTGGTGAATGGCTGGTGAATGGCTGGACGGTCTTCCTTACCACTTGCTCTTCTCTTGTATTGAACAATTTCATTCGATGATTATTTCTTGTCCCACCGTACATGTACAGTTGTTGTCCACCTGGTCATGGTAGCCACCGACATTGCCCATCATCACACGTGTTGTGTTTATGATCCTTGTCTGTTGTTGTGTTTATGATCCTTGTCTGGTGTTGTGCTTGTTGTGCTGTGAAGGAGACGGTGGCATGCGGTTGTGGCAAGAT